AATTAGCCACCATATTACCGTCATTAATTCTCTTTAGTTCACGGGCAAAAGACAATTAGCGACCATATTACCGTCATTCATTCTTTCAGTCCCGTGAAAAAAGACAATTAGCGACCATATCACCGTCACTAATTCTAATTTCATTTCATCTACACAGGATTACTGAGGAATGGCAACTTCGAGCTGGGACCGAAGGCCACATCCCTGAAGGGCACCGAGGTCCTCGGTCGATTCGCGATCCCCGAATGGGAGATCTCGGGCTTCGTCGAGTACATCAAGTCCGGCCAGAAGCAGGGCGACATGCTTCTGGTCGTCCCTGAGGGCGCCTTTGCGGTGAGGCTGGGCAACGAGGCCTCGATCAAGCAGCGAGTCAAGGTGATCAAGGGCATGTACTACTCGCTCACGTTCAGCGCGGCTCGAACCTGCGCGCAGGAGGAGAAGCTCAACATCTCGGTGGCTCCGGACTCGGGCGTGCTGCCGATGCAGACCATGTACAGCAGCAACGGGTGGGACTCGTACGCCTGGGCTTTCCAGGCCGAGTACGGCTACGCGGACATCTTGATCCACAACCCGGGTGTGGAAGAGGATCCTGCTTGTGGGCCGTTGATCGATTCGATTGCCATCAGGGCTCTGTTCCCTCCTAGGCCCACCAACAGTAAGTCCATCAACCTTTTCTGACATTTTTCTTTTAACCTTCCTCGGTCTCTTAAATGTCTGGTGTTTGGCTGGGCTCGATGTGTCGTTTCAAAAAATTTGAAATTCAAATGGCAAAGCTGTCACAGGAGTACGATTTGATGCTAAAGTTGTCCTGTGGGCATGAAAGTTGTCAGGAGATAAAAATGAATCTTATATTGTTAGTAAGTACGTAACTAGTTCGATCATAATTTGTATGTGAATTATCGATTGTTAATAATATAAACTTGGTCTCGCTTGAATTCAAAATTGTGTTTAAGTTGTGACCACACGTCCACACCTGATTCATAGCTAGTATTCAAAATCATGTTAAGTAGTGACCATACCTGATTTATTGTCACGATAGGATGCTTAAGTGTTTTTTTTTTAATTAGTGTTCATGTGCATAGTTTTTATGCTATGGTGGCAACATGAGGTGCTTTGAAATAAGTAAAAAATTTAAACTGTCACGTTTTATTATATGCATTTTCCGTTGTATTATTGATCAGACAAAATATTAAATTCGTTTTCATGGGATTAGCAATCGTGTGGGCACTATATGGGGTAGGGTTCATTACATGTCGCGTGCAATTTGATCTAATGCAAGCTCATTCCATTTAATGCCTTAGCCTGCTTTGTTCCCCCCTAGCTTCTTCAATTCCACTTTTACCCCTCGTTTGTTTATAGTACGTTTTGAATTATTTGGGTACGTACAATATGTTGCGGTAACATCGATAACAAGTTTTTTTTTCCAACCTTGTGACGATGCAGAGAACATACTGAAGAACGGAGGATGGGAAGAAGGTCCCTACATCCTCCCCAACACCTCATGGGGAGTTCTTATCCCTCCGAACATCGAGGACGATCACTCCCCGCTCCCCGGATGGATGGTGGAATCTCTGAAGGCCGTCAAGTACATCGACTCCGAACACTTCTCGGTCCCCCAGGGGAAAAGGGCGGTCGAGCTCGTGGCGGGCAAAGAGAGCGCCATCGCCCAGGTGGCCCGGACCATCCCGGGCAAGGCCTACACCCTGACCTTTGCCGTGGGGGACGCGAGCAACGCGTGCGCGGGCTCGATGCTCGTCGAGGCCTTCGCGGGGAGGGACACCCTGAAGGTGCCCTACACCTCGAACGGGAAGGGCGGGTTCAAGCGGGCGGTGCTCCGGTTCGTGGCGGTCTCGACCCGGACCCGGGTCATGTTCTACAGCTCGTTCTACCACATGCGGAGCGACGACTTCTCGTCACTGTGTGGGCCCGTCATCGACGACGTCAAGCTGCTGAGCGTACGCGGCACAGGGCGCGTGTGAGCCACGTGGTGGTTACTAAAAATAGGTTATTGAGACGAGGTGGCGTGGAGGTGGTTTTGTTGGTGGTGTTAGGCTGAAGGCGGCCTGGGTTTCGGGTGTCGAGTGCTATAAATAGAACAGAGAACGAGAGAAAGGAGTGTTTGTTATATAGTAGCCGGACGATTTACGAGTAATTTGCGATATTACTTTGTATGGTTTTCGAAAGAATGAGAAGTGGGGAATGTTGCTCTCTTTCTGAGAGTAATCTTGAGAATAAAAAATTTGTTGGTGGTATATATATTGGGGAACTGGGGAATTGTATAATGTTTAGATGGATAGTCTTGTTATAGTTTGTGTTTTTGTCGAGTCTTGAGAGTTGTGTGATTTACGAAAATAAATGGATTAAAAAATTATAAATCGAATAATAAAGAGCTCGTTTATGACTAGAAATCCGAGTTGTTAATTGAAAACCTACGCACGATCGAGTATGAATTTATGGGTAATTAGCATAAATGGTCACAAACCTTTGCACTTAGTACAAAACAGTCACAAACCTTTAATTTGTAACCATTTAATAACAAAACTTTTTACTTAGAACAAAACGGTCACAAATTAAACAGTGTGACCATTTCATACCAGTTCAAACTTTTGTTACCGTGTCGTTGCAAATTAGACTTTTGGTGACCGTTTTGTACAAATTAAGTTCAAAAGTTTGAACGCTCAATCACCGTTACAATTCGCTCTAGTTGTATGGTGGTTTTGTTAATGTATGTGAATGATATGATCGTCATAAAGGATGACAATGAGAGAATTCAATGGCTCACAAACGGGTTCCAGACTGCTTTTTAGTTGAAAAAACTCTGTCTACTTTCTTGGTATCGAAATTTGTTTTGATAGATTGGTATCGAAATTGAAAGGTCAACTGAGGGCATTCTTATTTGGCAAAGCAAATATGTCGATGACCACATGAGCTGACATCTTATATGTCGTTCAAGTGGTTAGTGTCATATACTTAACGAACAAACTACCCGACCTCAAAACATGACAAACATTTAATTTGTAACGATTCGGTAACAAACCTTTTCATTTAAAACAAAACGGTCACAAATTAAATAGCGGTGACCATTTTATACAATTTCAAAGTTTTGTTACCGTATTGTTACAAATTAAAGGTTTGTGACCATTTTGTACTAAGTGCAAAGGTTTGTTACCATTTATGCTAATTACCCATGAATTTATTACAACCTACACACGATAGAGTACCATGATATCTTATTACAATGGAGAATCTAAACTAAACGTAACTCTGCCACTGCTAAATTATTGAGTTTTTTAACTGAATTATTGAGCTTTTTTTTTTTTACTTGTGACAAAGCAAAGTCATAATTGGTTCCTAGTCTAGAAGGTGTCGAGGCAGGCCAATTGAATGAAGGTTCTGCTCATCTGCCCAATGAAGATCAAGACATGGTTTTATTGCTGATAGTGATCGTGGGGGTTGCGATTATATATATAGATTGAAATATGTGGCTACCATCAATATTAATATATGAGAGTTTTGTCCTTTAGTTGATTGCTTGCAGGTTTTAGGGTTGCCAACATGTGCATTCTGTTCAAGAATGACGAGCTCCATATGCGATATCGGCATTCCTTATCCCACAATTTAAGGGACACAATAGTAATCCGATCATGGTAATCTATACATATACACATATATGGCTCTTAAAAAAATATTTGTGTTCCACGACTTTAAAACTCAATGCTTTGAAATTACTAAATTGTCTACCGCATTATGTAAAAATGATAAAACATAGAATGAAGGTCAAGTGGTCAATGATGCCACACGCTCGAGATTAGGAGATGAATTGGAGGCTGCAAGGCAGGGTTCTCCACGAAATGAAGATTCGTATTCCTAGAATCAGGAGAGAGTAGAGAGTGTTTACTATTTTTTGTGAAGGCCGAGGGGACAAATTGCTGTAGATGAATGTTTTCTTAAAAGAACATCATAAGAACTATTGAACAATTGGCTTCACCTAGGCAGAGAATGAGTCGAGTGAAGTCAAATCGAATCAATTCTTATCTAGTTCGTGCTCGGCTTATTTAATAAAGTTTTGATTTGTTTTCTTACTTGAACTCGGTTCATTAGTGAGCTCACTAGCTCTACTCGATGCCTGCTCATCAATTAGCTCGATCCCTCAACTTATTTATCACTCAAAACAATTTAACTTCTTACAAAACTCTAAAATAATTATAATTTAAACATATTAATATTTATATGTCATGTAAGATACCTGTGATTAGTGTCATGATGACAAAAAAAAAATAATAGCATATGTTTCATCATTAAATGATCACATGGTTATATACTCTTGCATACTCTATTGGTATCATATTATTTAATTCGGAATTTTATCTAGTTGATATCATGTTATTAATTATATTATTGTTTTTGTAATCTATGATACAAAATTTCTCTTTTAATATATGAATGTGATATATTTTCTCACGTACTTAAAATATTAAACATTTGGTGTAGTGACATATATAATCTAACAAACCTCTCACTTATCAATAAACCAAAGTCGATAACATAATTGACTCTGTAATCACACTATCGAGCCAACTCAATCATGAGGTAGAAGTAAAACAACCATTCGTAGCTCTTGGGGTGGCAAAGGATCCGATCAACCTCGCCCCTTTTTTCTCAACAAGCAGAAGTCGCGAGGTACTAACAAAATAACCAAATTAACATAAAGCCACACCATCATCTCAATCAAAAGGACAACCCGAACAACATTGATTTCATGATTTCATCTCATCATGCCGCTGCTGTTCCATTTGAGCAAATCATATTAGAACTGTTTACCAAAAGAGATCACATATCTGCAAGACATCGTTAACCCGACACATCATCAAATCTAAGCGACCGTGCATGCAATTGATACGATGATGAAGAATAACAGCGATTGTTGATGAAAAAACGTAACAAGTCAAGTGCTAGTGCATCGATACATAATATCAATGCATAGCATAGCGAGTTTGACATTTTATTTGTAATAAGAATACTCACTCATTTTCCAATACAAAAGAAACTCAAGAAAATGTAGAAATCCACCAAAATCAGATAGAATTTTCTTTTCAAACGATACCAACGTCAACTACCTTTGCTACAATAAGCCTTCATGGCACACGAATATTTCTATCTACTTAGCGCCGCGTTAGACATAATCCTACAAAATCATCCTCAAGTTCAAAATCTTCTACGCTAGCTTTACACTATCGACGCCTTCTTTTCAGTCAAAGATATCATCCTCGTCGTCATACGCAATTGGTTGATTGGCAGCAGCAAGAAGCTCAGCTTCAATCCTGCAGGTTCATAATTGAAAAAAGAACCAACATTAAGCCAAAAGGAGTTCATGGACAACAATGAAGGTCACACACAATACTACAACTGGACAAGAGAGGGAAGGAACTTACCGTTGCTGTGCAGCCAAATCGATGTGGACCTCTGGAGGCTGCAAGGCAGGGCTCTCGACGAAATGCAGATTAGGATCCCTGGAATCAGTAGACAACAACATTGAACATCGTCACTCTTTAGTACTGCTGTAATCCTAAGAGGGAAATGCAGAGGCAATGGTGGCTACCCAGCAAGTTTTTTGGCGAGATAGAGGAAAGGCTTCTCGAAGTTGTAGTTGCTCTTTGCTGAGATCTCATAGTACTGCAAGTTCTTCTTCCTGTGGAATGTGACCTGCTTGGACTTCACCTGCCTGTTCTTCACATCCACCTTGTTCCCACACAGAACAATAGGAATGTCCTCACAGACCCTGGAAATTAACCACATTAAGCCGGGTAGTGAGTAAGGTAACATCAGATGCTCGCTGCTACCCTTCACCAAGTAGAAAGATGCAGAACTTACCGGGAAAGATCGTGATGCCACGTGGGAACGTTCCTATAAGTCAACCGAGCAGTGACATCGAACATTATGATTGCACATTGGCCATTGATACTGCCATCGAACCAACACATTCTCAGTAATTGTTATCAAGCCATCATAGCATTGTTAGAACAGCTAAGATCATTGATTCAAGATACATCTAACTTTCTAGGATACCAATCTATTCATCACCATACACACAACCATAGTACTAATCGACAGAGCAAAACTCAATCACAATTCGATAAGGACGATTACTTTACAGACAATTGCAGCAAGAAGGAACTTGTAAGACTTACTAGTATCCATCTCTGAGGCCACCGAAGCAGGCCCGGCCCATACCCTGTGCTGGTCTGACCCACAGCACAGGGCCTCATCTTTTGAGGGGCCTCATAATCCATAAGCCCAGCGGAATTCGACCTCATAATCCGAGCCTGTTGGGCTGGCATTGCTCCAAATTGGGCCTCAAAGTCCATAAAACGCCAAAGGATGACAGCCGCCGCAATCGAACTATGGACCTCATTGTCCATGAAAAGGGCACTTAACCACTGCGCTGGGAATTACTTGATGATTAAAATTAATAGTTAGAATATTTAACGTCTATCTTCATCTGTTTCCCCAAAATTTCTTAACTTTCCAAAATCATATAACACCTAAATATTAATTATTCACACCCAATTATAATTAACTCTTAATAAATGTCTATCCCTACTATCCCGGCCCCTTAGGGGTGGGCATACGGTTCGGTAAAACCGAACCGAACCTAACCGAACCGAATATAAACCGAACCGAAACCGAATTAATGTTATTCGGTTCGGAATTCGGAAGAGAAAAGGGCATATTTCGGAAATCAGGGTCCTTTCGACCGAACCGAATTTCCGAATTCCGAACCGAAAAACCGAATTATTATAATTGCAAGTTTTAAATGGTGGATTTTTATGTTTCTACTTATTATGAGACTTAAATATTTGAATCATGTTAGTGTTTTATGACTTATGTGTTGAAATGTTTGATTTTATTATTGATGATGCATATTTATTGTTTACATTATGGGTGAAAAATAATTTAAAAAAGAGAAGATACAAGCTAACCTCACTATTTCGGTTTTGTGTGAAAAACCGAACCGAACCGAATTATAATTCGGTTTGAACCGACCGAACCGAATTATAATTCGGTTCGAATTCGGTTTGAGGTTTGATAGAATTCGGAGACCCGGTATGCATAATTTCGGTTCGGTTTGAACCGAACCGACTGAATGCCCACCCCTACGGCCCCTAATGAACTTTTCTTTAAGTTCTAACCTTTTTTTTCCTTTTCTTTAACAGGGAACTTAATATTGTTTGGAAATTTGGAATCATTAATTTTTAGTTATAATTTTTAATTATGTCAACCCAAAAATTTGAAAAAGGTAGTTCTAAGCATATAAGAAAACATAGAATTGAGGAGCCTGAATATTAGTAGTCGATCTTGATGGCAATTCGAAAAATAGAAGTGAAGCTAAATCTTTTGCACAAAATGAACTTGGTGATTATGAGTTTATTGTTTCATTAGTTATTAGGTATGAAATATTGCACTCAACAAATTGGTTAGTAAATATTTACAATCCAAAGATACACTTATTGATGATATTTTAGAAATAGATGGATTGATTTCGTTTTTCAAAATTTACAGAGAAGATGGAAGGGCTAATAGAGGATTTTATTTCAAATAATGCTAGATGATTGTTACTTTCTGAACATTAATAGATAATATTATTACTTTTGTAATCATTTTCTAAACTTAAGTAATTATTATTTTTAATAGATTTATAAGATAAAATTTTGGGGCCACATTTTAAATTGTCGAACAGGGCCTCCGAATATTACGGGACGGCCCTGCACCGAAGTTCTCCTGTCCAGCAGTGTCCCAGCAATAGAACCGGATTTTGCCACAGTTGGTGAAGAAATCAAGTGGATGAACCTCCACGCCAATCGTTGCTGAAGAATGATCAAAATCGAACCGAGTTCACGAAAACCCCACACAACCAATTCAATGGAAACATCTCTAACAAGCAAAAGATAGCACACCTAGAATGGAAATCAATCAATCCCTCTTACAACTACTTACGCTCATATCTCTTCTCAAACTCGCCAGTAAGATGCCTCTTCACAAACGTCGTTTTGCCTGCAGGCAAATCTCGCACCCAAAGCCACAACAGTCAAAAGCATAGCTAATCGAGTCGAAACCCTAAGCAGAAGATGAAAGCGATACTATAGGGAAGAAAGACGATATGATCACGACAGACGAACCTGTGCCGCCATCGCCGACGAGCACTAGCTTGAAGCTCGGGTAATCAACGGTCTGCTGGTTCGGCAATGCCTGTTTATTCAGCGAGAAATCGAGCGTTAACCAGCTGAACTACGAAGCAAAACAGACAAACTAAAGGCAATCAAAAGAAGCGAGACGCTGAGAGGGCAGAGTAAAACAGAATCCAGACGCTTCACCATTGATCCGGTGAAGATCGAGGGAGAAAATAAATTCAAGAAGAAAGAACAAATCGGCAGGCAGAAGGGAAGGCGCATTACCATTGAGACTCTCTGCGCTCTTTCTCGAATTCGTGTTTGGATGAAGAAGGTGGTACGGAGGGAGAGGGCGGGAGCGAGTGGGGTTTATATAGAAGGAAGTTTAGGATTACGGTTGCGTTCTAACAACGTTCAAACTAAACACGCTTGCGTTATCAATAAGCGCCTCTTTAGTCTTTTCCGTCCTTCGACTTTACAGCCTGTTTGGATGGACAAAAAACTCAGGAATTGGAATTCCATTTCCAATTCTATTTCATTATTTCATATTTGGAATGGTAAGAAGGTTGGGAAATGAATTCTATTTGACTAAAATATTGGAAATTAGAATTCCTATCAAAAGTGATAGGAATTGGGTTTATGGAGATGGAATTAGTGGGACCCATTCATATTTATTATTATTTTATAATTCCACTATCTTATTTCTCTCTTTCTCTCTCATTCATATTTCATTTCCCAAGATAAAAAAATCTACTAAATCATTAATGATTGTTAAAGAATACAATTCATTTCCATAGTTGTTGGAATTATGCCAAACACAAATATTGGAAATGGAATTCCATAAAAGTTAGAATTGGGAATGGAAATCCATTTCCATTTCTTATGGAATTGTATCCAAACAGGCTGTTAGAGTGAAAATCATAATATCATTATCATACCTAAATTTCAGTCGAACTTCAATTTGAGTTCTTAAGTTCTATATAGTTTCATCTTAGGCCCCTCAATATAAGTTATATGTACGATTTAACCTAATTTGTGTTTGCATTTACTCCTCTTACTCTCTCTATCAAACTACACATTAGTTTTTTTTTAAGAATAATTGTATCTGTTGTTTTCGTAAAAGGTTCATCTACATTCATAATGGAATGTTTGGGCCATGATTTCAGTTTTGGTACACATAATCTCAATGTTAGGGATAGAGAATTCGTATAATGGTTTCGCCATGATATAATGGGTATTTCTTATTCCATGAATTAGACGTTTTGTGCATCGATATTTCTAAAAAAAAGAAGGGCAATGTCTATTTTTTACCCAAACCTTTTTCAGATTCTTTTATTTTAACCAAACCTATAGAAATTCTATTTATTATCCAAACATATTACAATTTATCAAAGTCTGGGCATTCATTATGTTACCGTTACTTATTTCGTCCACGTGAGGGGTGGGATTTTGTTTTGTTTTTTTATAATCTTTTTTATTAAAAATAGTAAATGATGGTATTCTGACCGTCACGTAGAAAGTCAACTCATTATGGTCATACTTAGTCAGCATTACTAACAGAAAAGTTGACGGAGAGTTAACGTTTGGATAATTTTTAGGAATTCAATAGGTTTGGTTAAAATAAAAGAATCTGAAAAAGGTTTGGGTAAAAAATAGACATTGCCAAAAAAAAATGAAAGCGTTTAATATTAACTACTACTATTGTGCCGGCCTTAGTCTAGATATTAGATATGTTTGATTTAAGTGGATCTCTTTACTGTTAAGCTAGTTTTGTAAAAACAAATATAAAAAAAATTGAATAGCATTCAGCATAATTTTATTTCATTTCGATTCCATAGTCATGTTCTTAATTACCTATTCTACCTCATCGGCAATTGGGTCACATCTCTATTTGTTTTTCCACCTATTACAATTGATGTATTCTACAGTGAGTTGATTCTAGAAAATACAAGCCCTCCCTTATTGTAACATATACTAATAATGAGTTAAAACCGCCACTTAATCCTGAATAATCCATGAATAGCATGTGAAGTAATTACTTTCTAAGTTTTGCATTATAATTACAGCTTTTACATGATAATAAAATAAAATTAGCTATCAATTCATCCGCATATTGAACCAAAGAATCAATATCACATCAACCAAAGTGATCTCATCCATTCATTTGTTTTCTCGTGAAGGAACACCATAAGAATCATGAACTGCCATAAGTTAACACTTTGATTTCATCCTATCACACACCACGCAGGGCATCATTGACCCAACCGAAGTCACCCAACTTTAAGCGACGACGCAAGCAATCGATGTGATGATGAACAGCAGTTATGATTGCTCAACAACGCGAAACCATGCCGCAAACAAGCCTAGTGCTGGTGTCGAAACGGGTTGCTTCCTGAACATGGTGTACATTGATACATAATGTCAATGCACAGAACTATCAGACGAGTTGTTTTTCTTCAATTGGATAATCTATGTCACTGAACAAATGGATATTGGGGAAGCTTCCAGGAAGAAGTGCCGGTACCCAGGACAGAATACATAACAATCCAACAGGACAATCAAAACATTTAAAAGATCAAAAGATGCCTGCGATATATGCCATTTTGAACACGGTAACTATCACGATCTGGAAGCGAGCAATTGCATCAAAATGACACCGGTACCAACGGATTGGGTTGGATTGAGTATATAGCCATCACTGTCAAGAGAGAGCAGAGCGGCTGACAACTTTGTAAGACCCGGTCGTTCACGTCTATGCCAGAGTTAGCAACCAGTGATCCACCCCCTCCCTCATATGGAGAACATAACTACAATCATTAAACCAAAACACAAGCAAAGCATGGAGAAGGAGAAAACTCACCTTGTTATGATGAGTCCAATCTTCTTGTTTACTGAAAACTAGCACCATGCCTATGTGCAGGATTGCGATGAGTAAAAGTAATTAGTTTAAGGATGAACTGATACGGCAACGCCATAGCAGGAAGTTGATTTCAAGAGTCAGTGACGAGGGACCTCAAAGCAATCAGATGGTATTCAGATTAAACAGCCATGCATGCAAACTCCATCCAACCACCCTCACAGGAGGTTTCTAATCATAAAACCAAGAAACAGATTTAATATCTTTACCAGCAACTAGATGTTTACGAACAGTCGAAACATTACATGAAATTCGAAAAGACAAATGAATTCAACATGTAGCAGGTTAGGGAAGAAAACCAAACCAGAAAGTTTAGCAGTGAATCTTTGAGGAACAAGTTCCAAGGGAGAGACATCCGTGATGTTACCTTCGATTTAGAGGGGGCAAAAGAAGAACAGAACTGATCAACTACCCAGGTAATGTAAAAGAGTGTAAAGGACACAAGAACTAAATCATACACGTTGCCCAAATTCTTCAAAATCATTCACGCACCAAGCTAAGCATCAAGGTGACTTCTTCCAAAATCTAACCATGGACCGACTTGTTTACTCAGTTCAGACGAGATGCCACTATGAAGACGAAACAAGCACAATAAACCTGTGGATAATTGAATATTTAAAATAGCATGAACTTCCCACATCGTGGCAGCCACAAGTTCTGTATGTGTTCCAGCAAACCTGAAACAAACTGTAATCAGCTAATAGCAATAGACATGCTTAGCCCAAGAAGAAGAAAAAATATATGCATGTGAAGCAAAAGAAAGGGAAGCACATGCTGGCCCAACTTTTGTGTCCCAGCATCATCTTTTGATCTTTCGAAGTAAAGCATGCATGTGTCGAACTGCTGTCCTGAAAATGCAGGGGACTTATCAATAACATCCACAAACTGGAATTCCTGGGAGAAACTCAACTACTTAAGATTTGGTAGAGCAAGATTGTCAACCAGATTTGGTAGTGTACACCTTAAAGTATCAATATTTGAAAGGTGGGAGCAAGATTGTCAACCAGATTCCTGGCCCAACCTTTCAGTCATGGGATTCACCGCCTTATAGATCGAAAATATAAATCCATATTCATTTTACTAACAAGAACAAATAACCCAGAGCAGTCTTCCCATTTCCGGATATCATTCTAATGACAGAAACAACATGCCATACAAGAGAACCTTGTTTTCAGAGATAATCGAATCCGAAAAAAGACTACACACTTTCAACGACATCTTCCAACTAGCAAACCAAGTTTCCAATAAAGTCAATAGTAGGGAGATGAAACATGGCTTCGTTCTGTCGCCTATGGAGCAGCTTCATACTCAAACAAACTAAAGGAAAGCGGAAAGGAAGAGGTATGGGGAAAAAAACAAAAACACAATGGTGATCCTCTAATGAAATACTGTAGGAAGAACTTCTTACATAGTTTCTGCATTACAAATGTCAAGGCTAAATTGCCACAATGAAGAATTGTCAAGAAATCTACAAATTGTAACAATTACATCCTGCTTCTTACAATAATATGATCACATGACAACCATGAAGACCCTACTGAAACATGAAAATATATAAAAGGAAAACCTACTTAACTACCACCTACTATGACCACCTGAACTAGTGGAGATCAAATTCCTTATCTCCACTGAATGTTCATCATGAGAGATGTTAAGAGACATACGAAGATCAGTCAAAAGTTCTTCTTGTTCCCAACTTAAGGGACCAGAAGCATAGAGTGCCTCTAGAGTGGAACGATAAGCATGCAACTCTAACCTATGGATTCTTGCAGTTACATCTTCTAGGGGATGGGGAAAATTATCTTCTTCCTCATCTCCATGATAATAATGTGACTCAGCATCACTACTCAAGGAATCATTACCAGCACTGTTACCAGCCATTGCACAGCTTAACAATTTACTAGGATTCATGCTAATGACACTACAACTACCAACAGAGCATGCATCATCAGCAGAATCACTATATTCCACTCTTCTGGCACATCCAGATTGATTATTAGGGGAAACATGCATGTCTATTTCACCCATACACTGTTCTGGGTAAGCAACAGTGTCTACCTTTTTCAGTGAAGATGTTTGGTACCCCTTCACCGCTCCTTGGAGTTGCTCCTCTTTCCTAAAGGCTCTCCTTTTGTGAAGGCTTGCATCGTATGCTTCAAAGTCAGATGACCAGAAAGGAGAAGCTCTCTTCAATGTTCTAGCTGACACAACACAAGACTCCTGAAAACCAGTGTTGTTTTCGGTGTATAGATAGTTACTCCCTTCTTGCAATTTTCTACTGGCACCAACTTGCTTCATCCTCTGGCTTGGTTTCTGATAACAACTCAAGGTTGATGCATTCGTGGAGTTCACATCCTCGCAGCTACTATTTCCCTGAGTATTATCCAATACAACAAAGTTAGGAATCCAACAATCTGTATATAGAAAGATTACGATTTTGTCAAAGATGTTCAACATGCAATGAACGGAGCCATTGGAATTGTAATCCCCAAAAGTTGAATGCATAATAAGAAGGGAAAAAATGTATATGAGAGCAATTTAAGGGAAGAAAAATGAACGGATCTTACTTTTCCAATGACAAACCACTGGCCATCTTGCCATAATTGGGGAACTCGAATGTTGATTTTATTGGCTTGAAGTTCTCTTGCACTCCCAGTTAGCTGAATCAAATAGTAATTTCCATCCATGACCTCCATAACCACTGCAGTCCTCCAGGACAGGTTGACATAGACCTCGACAACATCACCAACAGACCATGAATCGAGGTAATCAACATATGGAGGGTAGGGCCTAATGGCCTTTCTCGGGACCATTTCCTCAACATCTTCACCGCTTGCAAACATCGAAACATCATACTTGACACTGTATGTGTGTCCATTGCCAGATGTAATTTCACCCAGCCGCCACACTCCCTCTTCTTTTCCCAGCACCTCCACCTTGCTCCCTTTCTTAAATCTCATGATGCCTATATTAGGGATGATCTAAAAATAGGAGGGGGTTCAACCTGGAACAAACAAAGAAACCAAATTTAAACAATCAATCCCATGACGTGTCTCGCCACTCCAACTATCCGAGGGAACAGAAAAAACATGGCAACCAGAAAGAACACATATATCTAAACATCGGAAAGAATAAAATACAAGCAACAAAAACCTTTTTTCGGTCTTAAGATCACTGAAGATATTTAACCTTCTCTCTTCCAAAAAAGGGGGTCGGGGTATCCTAAGAACGAAGTTTGGGGCAGCATGGGGGAAAAGGAACTGTTCATCATCAAACAACATAATCATCGAAATCAGCCCAATACAAGAAACGCAATCAAACGGTAAATCCAAACCAAGGGGAAAACCAGCAGAAACTAGCGTTAATTTTGAACTGACATCGTATTAATCCATGAACTGATTGAACACAAACCCACCCACCAAACTTCACCCACAGGAAGAAGAGAACAAAAGAATTAACAGCACATCCGCTCAAAGGACGCACCGAATTCAGCAAAAAATCATTCGAAAAATAGCGACTTCAACGTCAAGCAGATTACAGTAAGAGCACCAGATTTCTACGATAAACACGATTAAACGGAGAGCGATTAACTGATAATCGAAGGAAAATAAGGTACCGATTGAGAGAGAAAGAGAGAGAACCTCACTAACCTTTCGTTGAAACGTCGAGAGAGAGCTTGTTAGGGTTATCGGAGAAGAAAAGCAGATAATGAATTCGGGGGTTTCGCTCTCCAGCTTTTGTTGATCTGCAGAAGCGATTCTCTCCCTCTTTGCTCTGTTTGTTTGGCTTAATTTGCTTTCCTTTGGATTTTCATACAAAGGGGAAAATGAAAAAGCTTTTTTTTTTTTTTTTTTGTATCGAGGGAGATTTGGATTGGTTAGGGTTAAGACTTAAGAGTGACAGAGAAGAAACATAACAAACGAGATTAAGAGAAATTTAGAATCGAGAAAAAACACGATAAATGGTAGTGTTGTAATAATTTGCCTTAGTGAAATTTGTTAAATTCGTATCATATAAATATGAAAATAATAATAACAACGTTTTAAAAGTAGGATAACTACTTGTAACTTTTATAAATTTAGTAGTTCAAACTTCAACTGTTAAACAATAATAACAATACTGGAAATTATAATTTTTCTTAGCATGGAAATGATAGGGTTGTGTTCCGTCGTTGTACTTTTTCAACTAATTAGTCATTTATTTTTCGTATAAAAAGATAATATTCATTTCCCAACGATATATATTTAGAAGAAGATGATATATTTGTAAGGTCCTTGGTGATATTGAAACACACTTTAATTTTCATTTTAACCCTATAAGTGGAGAAATTTGATTATCAAATGGTTACCTCCAAGTCCAAACTCCAAACACATTTTAGTGTTGCTTATCGGTAGGGCTACAAATGAGCCAAGCGACTCGCGATTGGTTCGCGAGCAACTCGGCATTCGAATTGGAAAAAACTCGTTCGACACTCGGTTTGTTATTTAACAAGCCGGCTCGCAAGCCAACTCGTTAGTAAACGAGCCAAGCTTGAGTTCCATGCTCAGCTTGATAAGCTCGTGAGCTAGTTTAACTTGGTGGCTTGTTGAGCTAAGCTCGCGAGCTAGCTTGTTTAGAGCTAGTGAAATGGTTAATTACTCTTATGAACATGTACATTATCTTGTTAATACGGATGTGTATGAAAGTTAGTTGTTATTTATAGTTTCTAGTGTTCTTTTTATCATTTAAATCTTATGTGTACACAATTTTCTGCAAGAATGATTTTAAATCGAGTTTATTTTGAGCCGAACTTGTACTCAGTTTGACAAGTTGTGTTAATGAGCATTTATCACGCTCTACCAGTCAAGTTCGAGTTGAATTATTTTTAATCGAGCTGAGCTCGAGCTAGATTATCAAAATTCGAGTTTGAGCCGAGCTCGAGCTGAAGAATTTATAAACGAGCCGAGCTCATGCTAAGCAAAAACTCGATTTGGCTCGTTTGCATCCCTTTCCCTAACCCTACCATTTTATTTTATTTTATCATTTTAATCAAACTAAATAGGAAAATTGATAATTTTTGGAAAATACCAATATTTTAAATCAAAATATGCTGACATGGAGGGTTGATCGTTCGCCAACTGTCTGGACCGTCCAGTATAACTACCAACACTAGGGTTTTGCCAATTAAGTAAATTTTAGAGTTAGTTTAGGTCACGATGTTAAATATTATAAATGTGTGATATATTGTGTAGCTGATATTAGAAGAGTAAAAAATAGTTTGAAACCATTGCATTGCTCAAATCGCTAGAATGAATTACACCATCAAATACAAAAATGTCTTAGAAATCCGAAGATTGTTTATGTCAACCAGTTTTTAATGATGAAAACTAAAAAGACTGTAAAATTCTACCATTAAGTACTATTGGGAGGGATTGTTTAATGCCTCCATTATTCTTAAAAACACCTGAATTAATTAAAAAATATGGATGTCATATATGATATATATGACCTTTTTTTCTTGCCACTCAATTTGAGCGCATAGATGATTTTATATCTTCGATGTTCTTCTGAATTTTCTGTTTTCTATTACCCTTACCAAACAGCAGCCAAAAGGAAGATGGTAATTCATATTTTTTTCACAAAACTTTTATAATAGACAACGACTTCGTAAAATTGCGACAAAAAATTAAAATCTAATTCAACTAGATGAATCACAAAAAATTGGAGTTGTTATTAAATGTTTTTTCTTGTCATTTGTCAAAGCTGTTATTAGATGTTATCAGGTAATTTACGTGAAATCCAAGTTTGTTTCTTATATGGAAAATTTCATAAAGGTGAAGCCACCAACACTAACTCCACTTCCAAAACAATCCACCAACTTCTATGATAAGTTAGGTTCATGGTTCTTTTTTAAAATTCCAAGTTATTGTTTGCCAAAAATTATATTAATAAAATATATGTAACGTAACGGCAATGACAGCTAAAATAGCAACATGAGATAGGCCAGTAATTTGTCTAAAAGAAAGTTGATCCACTTTTCCACTTTCTTTGCTACCTTTATAACTGGATTTTCACTCCCAGGGTTCTATTCAATGGGACTCCTCTACCTGGTTGGACGTGGCTCAAAAACTAGCACAAGGGATGAGCCCGGGAGAAATAGTAACCCCGGAGGATCTCCATATGCTGGTCGACCAATTGACAACCTGCTTCAAGCAGAGCTCTTTCTATCTCCCTTTCAATTTCTAGTTGGGTTTCCAGCAGATTGTCCTGCTGCTCCCTGCTCAATTGCAGATTTATCGAATTGATGCGGAGGCGGTCGCTTAGCTCCTGATGGAAAATAAACAAGGCTATTTTAGGAAGAAAAAAGTTCCTACGTCACACTACAATAACCGTATTTGAAAATTGAGAATCGGCCACGTAGACCGTAACACTATCTTCTGACAAGTTTCTTGTACACCTAAAGTGGTTTTCGATATTGATAAATCGATTTGCGATACTAATAGATAATAATTGATTGGCTCATTAGACCGAGAAATCTTTCAATTCTACAAACAACTCTTGAGTGTAAATATTTTGTGCTACTTTAATTGTACATAAATTCTCTGAATTAGGGTCTAACTTGCCAGAGGAATTGATGATGAGCCCATTTGATGCATGTGTTGGCTGTGATTTTAGCGAGGAGCAAATTTTGACGACCCAACGAGGTAAAATGGAGTTTCACATAATTTCTCTCGTGTTCCAACCTAAATGCATGTAAAGCTAATTTGAGGAATACTTGAAGAAGGATGGGTGAGGGTTAGTTAGCCTCAATTTACATGTATGCCAACTAATCATTGTGCTTTATGTTTGGGTAACAAGCATTGTTTACATTTAAAAATTAATCTGATATCACATTTTTTTAGTTGAAATACAGACATTTTTTAGTTTTTTTAAAGGTGGAAAGGAAGGGATAACCTATACTTATGGACATCATCAATAGAATCCATCCCCAAGACATCCAACACATTCGATCGAGTATACAACGACTTATGTGTTACATAACTAAGTTAAATATCACTGAATTCAAGCTATACGGCTGCTCTTGTACTTGTTTAAGTAAATGTAATTCATAAACAAGATTATCACATGCCAAACGCTTGGTCAACCCTAGTAAATGTAATTCATAAACAAGCTATACGGCTGCTTTTGTTACTATTCGCTTATGTCGCATACTTCCAATCATAGTAAAATATGGTACGGGAAAGTTACGTATAAATATGTACGGGTATTTTATTTCATCTCTAAGCTAATGTTACATTTAATAGTACGTTAATTATCATAAATATATAAAATTAATTATTTCAAAAATAAATAAATATATAAATAATAGTAAAGTTAACAATTTAATCCATTAAATACAGATATTAAACGTGTTTTATACGTGTTTAGTACGGAAGCCATCAAATGAACAGAAAAAATTAAAACGGCTTGACAATAATATGGATACGAAAGTTTTAAATGGATAAAATACGTATGTGTACATAGGGATGGCAATTTACCCACCCATGGGTAATTTTGCCTAAACCCAAGTAGACTCATCTATTATGGGTAGGGTTTGGGTGATGTGTGTATGGGTTTGGGGTTTGTATATGAGTTTGGGTTAGATATAGATATTATCTAAATGGGTATGGGTTGGATATGGATGTCCATTTACTTGAGAGTGTCTTAACTACACATGCAAAAATTGGACTTATTTGTAAAACTTGAAAATTTTAGATACCAAAATGTAAGACCAAAAAAATTTAGGTACCAAAACGTAATTTTCCATCGATATTTTGAGGACTTATATGCAAAAAAAATTAAATTTAGATACTAAATATGCATATCTATTAAGTTTAGGTACCAAACTGTAATTTGTATTTGGGCATGGGTACAAACCCAAATCCATTTGTTATAAACCCAACCCAACCCAAAGTAAATGAGTATGGGTACAAACCCATCAAACTTTACCCATATCCATATATTTGGATTTCATACCCAACCCAATTGAGTTGGATAGTAAAATACCCATGGGTATGGGCATAATTGCCATCCCTACTGTGTACATATACTATGCTTCCAAGTAGGGTCATCGACCAAACCCAACCTTGCTGCTAGCCACCCATGTTGGTTCGACCGAGTGATAAATGGGCCTCCCTATTCAACAATGACCTTCCCCCTATTGTGGGCTATACGGCTATGTAGCCCTTAAATGGGTTTGTCTATTCCGGCCTCCCGAACAATCCAGATTTGAGAGAGAGCAGCGCGGCCGAAGTGGGATTTTTGCGAGAAGCGGAGAATTTGGCTCGGCAAAGCCAAAGACTGACTGCGCAATAAATAAACGCCTCTTAGGTTTTGCATTTCCACCGATCAATCTCTCTCCCTACCTCGTCCCCGTCACACAGTAGCTCAACACTTCTCTGTGTGGCTCAGCTCAACCCTAGAGGTACTGTTCTTCCTCCTTCCTCCGCTTCCGCGCACTCTACACACCGTAAGGCGCTCATCGGTTTGTCTACTTTTCAGTTGCGGGATGTTAAAATTTGTGCATGATAGCTCAAATTGGGGACGAATGACGGGGTTTCCGTCTCGTTGCGTGCAACCTTATGCTAGTTCCTCTCCTTAGCGGTTCCAAGGGCATCGGATTCCGGAATGTTGGATCTAGTGTAGGGTTTCGCGGGTCTCTTTCGTAGGGGTTTATGGTGTTCGGTGAAGTGTGTTGGCTTCTGCGTTACGAGTTTGCGTTGATTGAATGAAGTAGCAGAGAATTTTTTCCCATTGAGCTTCCTAGGGCAGTCTTCCCAGTGCTCCCTTGCTAGAGGAGATAGTGTGTAGTTCTTGGTGCCTTGATTATCTGCAGATGCCTGGCGTTATTTTAATGCAATTCCTATGGGTTATTAAGGATCTTTCTACCGAGATCTTTCATGGTGTGACTACTGGACTTGCGAATGATCAACTGTCAATCAAGTCTAGAATGAATTATCGGTTTTTGGCGTGGCCTGGTTGGTAACTTCATTTATCCTTGGGCTCTTGCCGAGCTTAATTTACCAGGTCTACCGTCATCTATGGACGTTAGGGCTTTGAAAGAAGCTGGTCTTTTCGTAATTCAAAACTCAAGAGTCTTGGATAGTGCACATACTCCCTAGTTTTCTTATGACCCCTGCAAGTGTACCAGTAGTCAAATTCAAGTGTGGGTTTGCGAGGGGAGCTTTAAAAGTCTAGTGTAGAGGTGTTTTTGCCATGTGTTAGTCCATTTAAGTAGCTGGGATCTGTCTGTAAGGTGCTGAGCTTAGTTATGTAGTTGGAATCTGTATGCATAGTAGCTGTATTGTGCATAGTAGCTCACTTCTTTTTTTACGTTGCAGTTCTTGCTGGGTTAGCTTTTGCTTCTGCGGAAAGAAAAAGAGGCAAAGATGAAGAATCCATTGGTCTTTATGGATGTATCTATTGATGGAGACCCATTTGAAAGAATGGTATTTGAGGTACTTGGGTTTTTGTAGATTGGAATGAATTAGGTTTTAGGTTTCAATGTATTACTTTTGCTTGAGTACATTTTTGTCAGGTTGAGTTCACTCATTTTGGTGTCACTAGTACACATTTTTCCTAATCATTGCTGTCTTTATGCTGCAGCTTTTCTTCGATATTGCTCCAAAGACGGCGGAAAATTTCCGCGCTCTTTGCACAGGTATTGGAATCCACCCTTTATAGGGGGAGGGGTGCGTGGTTTCCTGGGTTTCTAAGATGCTAGGTAGTAGGTACATCTTCTAAGCAGCTAGAACAAACTCAACTGTGTTCTTCTGACCTGATTATCTCATATATTGGCAGGAGAAAAAGGAGTTGGGCCTAAAACTGGGAAATCTTTACACTACAAGGGTTCTTTCTTCCATAGTGTTATAAAAGGATCCATGGCTCAGGTTTGTTTTTGTTCTGATGCATTTTGGTCACTAAACTATGCACACACATTACTTTCAAGCTTGGGTTTGCGCTCAGTTTCTTGTTGATGTGGCTTGGAGGTGGTGTCTTTTAGTCAGTTTCCATGGTTAGCTGGTTACCCTTGTTTATGCTGTATTGTACAGGGCTGATGGTCACGCCTGCTTTTGATATTGTTTTAAGGTTGTACTTACTGAGTTGTCCATCCTTAAAATTCACTACGCTTCATCGTGAAAAAACCCTATATGATGATGCAAATAATTATGTTAGTGGACTAATAGGCTGTGCATTTCTTGCAGGGAGGCGACTTCTCAAAAAGAGATGGTATGTGTCCTTATACCGATGCTTTTTCATTGTGCCATAAATTTTGATAAGTTTCTTCATTCTATGTCATAATTCCATGTAGCAGAAGTATGTCTTACATGATATTGTGATGCATTCTTGCAAACATGAAGGCCTTTGGGACATTTGGAATTTGTTCCATTCACTAACTTCAAGATTTAAGCCTAACGGGACCAAGTTGTAGACATGGTTGATAATATCTGATTTGCCTGAAATGTTGGGCTGGGATTGTCATTAAAAAGAAAGCCAAGTAATTGTCTTTAATTTTTAAAAGGTAGCTTCTAGTTAATTTACCTGTTCTTTTGCTCCTGGTAGCTTTGTATATTTTAGTGGCTTGGTTTGAAGACAGTGGCCATCTCCGGAATTACACATAATTTTCTGTTTAGACTAGTTATGGAGATTAGCTATCTAGACTGAGTTATCTATCAAGCAGTTTCATGAGAGTATTTGGCTGTTTTTACAGGTCGAGTTAGCCTAAGATGTTCGTTATGTCTGGTCATGAGAGAACTCTTAGCTAATTATTAAGCTTCTTACTTTCCTTTCTGATTGCAGGCTCTGATGGAGAAAGCATTTATGGTGGAAAATTCCCTGGTAAGGATAATCAGCCCAACATTTGAGACTTGTTAATAGGGAAAACTGAACCAATGTGTTATATACATCATATTTATAATTTATGAAATGATGGGCCTTCCATTTGTTTCCGGCACATGCTATCATTTTGGTTAGTTGTTTGGTGACTTCACCAGGGATCTGTTACGAGACTTTGTTGCTTTTATGTTCAGAAGGTGGCTCCACTCCATTTTGGTCTAGTTTCCTCTTTGAGTGCATTTCATCTTTCTTCTAGTTAAAATTTTTTGTTTGTGGATTTCCGCCTTGAACATTGTTTCGCAACCAAATAGTTAGATTTATTACATTTCTACATATTTTAAACAATTTGCACTATTTGTTTCTGTGCCTCTAATAATGAAAATTTGCATGTTTGCCATCATTTCAGATGAGTCTCCAAAGCTGAAGCATGACGAGCCAGGCCTTCTATCCATGCCAATAGCTGATCGTGATACCTTAGGTTCTCAGTTCATTATCACATTCAGGGCTAATCATAGCCTGGACAGGTTAAATTTTTCAACTGGTCATATTTTTTCTATATTGAACCAGGGGAGTTCTTAGATTGTTGCAGCAAAAAAGTTTGTTCATTCTGTATGGTTGTCTCCTGAACGGCAGGAAATACTTGGTGTTTGGGAAACTCGTGCAAGGATTTGACGTTCTCAAGAAAATTGAAAGTGTAGGCGACCAAGAAGGGAAACCCACAGTGACGGTCAAAGTTATCAATTGTGGTGAACTAGATGGTGATTACTGATGCTCTGATACTTGACATTCTTAGGGCGTAACTGCATATATGGACAAACATTTTGTTGCCCCTTCTATAATATTCTCCTGTCTTTTTGCCAAGGTTAAGATAGTCTAGTTTTACTGATTTTATATTCAATGGATTTCCCACCTTTTATGCAGATAAGAAGAAATCTGATAAACAGAAATCAGGCAGGCATGCCTCTCCTGATGCTAATAGTATGGAAACAAAGAAGAAGGGGAAGCACAAAAGGTCTTCAAAGAACAGAAAGAAGAAGAGAAGAAGACAGTATTCATCGGATTCTGAGAGTTCATCAGATTCCGAGATGGAGTCGTCCGAGTCTGACAGTGATTCTGACTCATCTATGTCCTCATCTGAGCTTAGTTCATCCAGTGATGATAGACGCAAGAAGAGGAAGAGATCTTCCAAAAAAGATAGACATAGACGTGGGAAGAAAAGAGATAAACAACGTGAGAGAAGACGGAAGAGACATGAAAAGAAGTCTAAACGTAGATCAAGAAGGTACTTGATTCTGTGGGCTTTTATGATTCTGTCAAAGCTGACCTAATAGGTGCCTGTGATATATGACCATTAGACTCTACTTTAACTTGTATATGGAGATTTGCACTTGCTTGCCTTATTAGCCCCCCTAGTAATGTGCCATGGGCTTCTTGTCTTATGTTAGAAGGGAATGTGCCGTGATTTTTACTCTAAGCGCAATGATGTCTCACTTATCCAAGATGGGGAAAAAAATTCATTTTGAAACTGAAAATAGTACGGTAAGTATGAACCATTGTTATGATATTTTTGGCGCTCCTTTTCTTTCCAGGGATTCAAATAGCTTGTCAGAAGATAAAGGTGGAAGCGGGAGCGATAGTAGCACTGGTGATGAAAGCTTTGATATGCAAGGAAAAGAACGAAAGCGTAAAGAACGGGGGCACAAAACTGGTACTGGATTAACTCACTTCTTAATTTGCTTATCCTTGCTTCAGCTGTACCCGGCTTTATGATGTTTCTTCATTCACATTTCCGTGATGTTTTATTCTTCGCTTGTTGTTAGTTTGCATTATGGTTAGCCTCATGTCCATGATGCTTTTCCATAATCAGGTGTGCTTAATAATCGTAGAAATCTTGAACGGCTTAGCAGTTGTGATTTGTTTTTCTTTTCATCTCTAGGAACTTAGTAAAGTTGCAGTAGTAACACTAACAGCATATCTGTGTGTATAGAGCCTGTGAGTCTTGAGTTGCAGAAGGTGGGGAACAATGATGAAGTTTCTTCTTTTGAGTAACTTAGAATACTCTAGGAGTAGATTTTTTTTGGGTTCAAATCACGCTATGGACTTTGGTTTTCTTTGATTATCTCTTAAGAGGTTGTCACATGCCCTTTTGTTCTTCTGTTTTGTTGTACTGCAACTGCAGGTCAGTTTTCTGATGTATTAGAGGGAGATGGTGATGCTGCTTCCCTTTCACGTAAAAGAGATCATGGTATGCTTAGCAAGGAAAATGGTGAATCTCCCAAGCAAAATGGAGACAGGCAGGGCAGAGCTGTTGTTGTGGACGCAAGATCTGGCAGAAGCGAGGACGGTCAACCTGATGTGGTAGATGATCACCCTGGAAAATCTAGGTCTACTTTCCATTCTTCTCAGACCTCAGTTATTGTTGTTTATACCTTGAGATTCTTCTAGATCTGGTATTTTATACCGAAGTTGATGAGCAGGAGCCGAAGCATGAGTCCCAAGAGGGCCATGAGTAAGAGTATGAGTATTAGTCCAAGGCGAACTATTAGCAGCAGGAGCCCAAGCATTAGTCCTAACAAGAGGATTATGAGCAGGAGCTGCAGTGCTAGCAGAAGCCCCCCTCCAAGGAGTGCCAGCAGAAGTCCTGCTAGAAGTGGGAGTGGTAGCAGAAGTCCAGTGAAAAGTGTTTGCAGGAGCATAAGCAAGAGCCCGGCTAGAAGTGTGAGTAGGAGTCCGTCAGGAAGAGCTGCTGGAAGCACTAGCAAGAGCCCAGCTAGAAGCACGAGTAGGAGTCCGTTAGGAAAAGCTGCTAGAAGCATTAGCAAGAGCCCAGCTAGAAGCATCAGCAGGAGCCCAGTCAGGAGCAGAAGAGGTAGAAGCATAAGCAAGAGTCCCGTGAGACCTCGGTCCCGAAGAAGCATCAGCCGGAGCCCAGTTAGGCCCAGGTCACGAAGAGGTATCAGCAGAAGTCCTGGGAGATCTCGGTCCAGAAGGAGCAACAGCCTAAGCCCTGTGAGAGGCCCAGGTCGAAGAAGTGTGAGCGGCAGGAGTCCCCCTCGAGGAACGATTCGAAAGTCTATTAGTAGAAGTCCTGCTAGAATTTCTAGGAGGAGCATTAGTAGAAGTCCTATTATTTCTTCTAGGAGAAGCATCAGTAGGAGCTCTGGAGGACCTCCTTCAAGGAGAAGAAGCAGCAGCAGAAGTCCAAGGAGGGCACCAATTAGGAGTCGTCGAAGAAGTTATTCAAGGAGCCGTAGCCCTGTAAGGAGGGTTAGATCTCCTGATCGCGGAGGTTCTTCCAGAAGTGTATCTCCAGGTGGGTCCCCCAAGCGCATTAGAAGAGGGCGGGGATTCAGTAATAGGTACTCGTATGCCCGGAGATATAGAACCCCTTCGCCAGATCGTTCTCCTGTGAGATCATATCGTTACAGTGGGAGAATTGATCGTGAGAGGTATGTTTGTTCTGTCCCAGATTTTGCTGATGTGCAAGAAAATAAGTTATTTTTTGTAGGTTGATCATAAGTAGGGAAAGATTATGTTTAGTTGGCTTGTGGAAAATAGAGTTGGGTTGCTAATCATTCAAAGTTGAAGGTACTTCAAATAATTCCCTCTGCCTGATAGTGTGTTTGCTTTTTTGGTATCCAGGTATTCCAGTTATAGAAGGTACTCACCAAGGCGTTTCAGAAGCCCTCCAAGAGGCAGAACTCCTCCAAGGTCTTATTTGTTATGTTTATCCTCACTGAACATGACTGTATAGTTTACAGCAAAGCATGCTTTAGTGTACTGTACTGTTGACCTTTGAGTTTATGAACACAGATATAGAGCGAGGAGAGGGAGAACTAGGAGCCCTTCAGTGTCACGCAGCCCTCGATACAGGAACCGTCGCAGGTACAGCAGAAGCCGTAGCCCGATTCGCAGCCGAAGTCGTTCTCCGGTGGTTTCAAGGTCTCGAACTTCTCCCCATGTTACTACCAAGCCGTCAAGGTCGCCTTCAAGTAGCCGAAGCCCTAGCAGCAGTCGCAGTCGCAGCCCGAGCCCTGCAGATTCTAGGTCTTCGTTGGCTTCACCTTCCCCAAGGCGGCAAGTAAGCAAAGACAGATCAAGGTCGTCATCTGGTAGCCCACCCAGTGGCAAGAAGGGGCTGGTCTCGTATGATGATGGTTCCCCCGATTCTAGCCCCAGGTGAAGTAGTTTGTCAGTGGCAGTTCAGTGAGTACAGGGCTTTAGACATTCTCTTCTCAGCAAACGTCAACCGATCATTTGATTGTACTGAAGTTGCCATGGACTTCGTCCCTGGTGGACAAATAGTTGCTGTTGCATGCTGTTCCAGTTTGAGGCTGTGGAGGCCGAGTTTCACATGCTCCTATCTCAATTGGATCGACAAGGTGAATGTGTATGCTTTCAGGCGAAGCAAGAACTTGATTATGAGAAGAGTACTGCAAGAGTAGGTGGTGTAGAGATTCAACCACCCTTAGATAGCTTTGGTAACCCGTTCGGCAGAGGGGTTTTTGAGGATTTCAGACTTTTCAGTTTCAGAGCCTTTTAGTGTTGTCCATCTGCCTTGGGAGTGCTCATTTATATCCATGTTTTAGGCCGCCGGCTGTGTCATTTGCTGTGTTATTGGGAGGAGTATTTACTGTTGCCTTGACCCCAATTAGGCACTCTGGGATTTTAGGTTCATGCTGGTTTGCTTTTTAACTTCAGTTGTGGATCTCCACTTCTAGTTCGTACTTTATGTGTTTGTTAATTGTTATGCTCCTTTACTATGTTTTCGATGAACGATCTCTTTTGTTGAGTTAGTTCTCTGCTGTTATCATGATAGTTTCCTATGGCTTCTCGAATGTCTAGTGTAGCGTCTTCCTTGGCCGAAGAAGCCTTTCGAGTTTCGACTACCTAGACGAAGACTTCATAAACCACGAGTACACAAGGCTTGATGAATTGGGAGTGTACACCGAACTGACACTTCCATTTCAAAGTTCTAAATCAACTCTTTAGGTTTCGAAAATTGAGTGGCAATTGTTAGGGAAGTCTATTGTTTATTTCTTCCTGAAACGGAATTCCTAATCTCCTATAACCGACGGCGACGCAAAAATTACCGACTTTACAGGAAAGGAAGCCCATGCCTGCACCCAGTTAAAAAAGTGTACAAAGCAAGTAGATCCGGGAAACCCTCTGGCCGAACTTGATTTTGCGGCGCAAGAAAATCCCCAATTCCGCCCGCCACCGAGAGAGTCTGCACTGAATTGAATTCCGGCCGATGACGGTCAAAGTCGGGTACGCCGTCGACGTCAAGGAGGACACCGACGAAACAGTCGCCAGCCAATCCTCCTCAGCCTTCCCGACCTGCATCATCCGGCTGGTGGTTCGCTACAGGTACCAACTCAGGTTCGCTTCCAACGAAGGGAAACTGGTGGTGCTCGAAGACGTGGTCACGCCGGAGCTCGCGACCACCCTCCGGGTCCCGATCGCATCCCCTATCTCGCTCTGGCAAGAGCTCTACCTCGCCGACGCGCTCAAGAAATCGAACCTGATCGAGTCCGGGCTACGCGCCGTGCTGCAGCGCAAGATCGCCGACTCCGCGGAGGCGATATCGAAAGGGAAGACCGGGAGCGCGGTAGGAGGAGGGTTCGCGATGGTCGTCAAGGTGGGGATTCTCAAGGACGAGATCTTGAGCACGGAGGAGAGGGACAGAATCGCGAAAACCGCCTGCGGGTGGGTCAATAGGGACCGCGGCGGCGGAAAGGAGCCGAGATTGAGGAGCTCCTGATGACGACTTGCAGTTGTTAGCCGCCGATGGACTCTGTTTTGTTCTTCCTTTTTTCTTCCTCCTTTTCTTCGTCTTGTTCCATCGTCATTCTCTTTCTGGGTACGATTGCTTGGCTTCGTTGATTGGCATTCTTTTGGTTAGATACTGTTCAAGGGGAAAAAAAATTGTCTTCTTGAATGACGCACCTATGGCCATTTTGTTGTTTGTTGAGCCGATAATTGAAAATGTCATTCTCACTCCTCTGTTCGGCTTTTGGATTGTGGGCAACGAGGGAACACGTTGGAGAAGAAGAGGAGCTTCCCTGTGTTATGGGCAGGCATCCATTCCATGGCGTGGCTGCTGCCGGCGGCCCGGCCGCTAACTGCCGTCTCGGCAAGACGGCAATCTCTGCCTGCTTTACGCTGCGTTTAGAGCGGCGATTTCGTTGGTGAAGTTCCCTGTTTTCCGGAACTAAGGGGAAGCTGATTTCCCGATGCAGCGGTTACATGTGGGTGGGGTGGGTTTTCCCGTTCTGCTGGACCGGTGGTTTAGCCAGTAGCATTAACACGTATTTCTCATCTTGTGGTGACCTTTAGGGTTGGTAAATGGTAATGAAAGAATTGGGGTAATAACATTTTATCGTAGGATAATCGAATTGTGTTTAATAATAAAGTAGTAAATAATTTTTAAGATTATAATTTTAAAAAATATTTTCTATTTAAATGTATTTTTTAATAATAAACTGTGGTTGTATAGTCATTTGAAAGGAAACATTGATAGAATGCTTTCAAGTTGTAGATCAACATCCCATCACATTGTGACTAAACTGTGAGCGACGACTAAATGAATCTCAGCCTCTATTTAGTATGTCGAACACCATTTTTTTTATAGGAACCCGGGGTACGTCGAACATCATAGCTTGTAATAACTACCTGCTATACTCTTTCTAGTAGGGTTTTTTCTTGAGACAACAATGAAGAAAGAATAGAGCAACTAACTCTATATTTGGAATTTCTGAAGCCAGGCAGAATTTAGTTAAAAATATAACTATTTAGCAGTATCCAAACCATTGCATGAGCCATGAGGTAAGAGTAAGGCCCTCACAAAAGGAGTGGTTTTGAGCAAACTTGTCTACCCGATTTATTCCTTTGGCCCAATTGAGTAAGCGAGTTTAGGGTTAATGGTCTGACCGATTTAATTCGTTTTAGCCCGAATATATGAAAAAGTCATTATATTATTTACACATTTATAAATTATATAAAATCTTATCTAATATATGAGTAATAACATATAACATTACACCAAAATAACATGTCATACTTGGATCTAACATATAGTGAATTTTCACATACACTTATATCACATTAATATTCAAATGTTCAACTTAGAATTCCAAATGTAGGGTTAGACGTAGAGCAGAAAATAAACGCATTTTGCAAATCAAATGAAAAAATGACACCGCACGACCTCCAATTCGGTAACCTTACAGTGGGTCAACCCGTCAAATATGTGTAGCTCGTTTCTCTCACCGGGTCAGCGTCAAAACGAGTCGACCTGCGAGTTTACAACCTTCGTTTTGAGTTAAATTTAAATAAAATGTATATATGTTTATTGTCGTGTGAAGTGTAAACTTAAATTTAAGCAAATAAAAGTAGAAAAATCAAACGATCCTGCGTAGGGATGGCAATTCCCCACCCATGGGGAATTATACCCAAACTCAAGTAGACCCATTGATAATGGGTTGGGTATGGGTGAAGTGCACATGGATTTGGGGGTTTGTAGATGGGTTTCGGTTAGGTATGAATATTGCTTCTATAATCTAAATGGGTATGGGTTGGATATAAATATCCATTTACTTGAGGGTGTTTTAACTACACAAGCAAAAACTGGACTTATTTGTAAAACTTGAAAGTTTTAGGTACCAAAATGTAAGACCAAACAAATTTAGGTACCAAAACGTACTTTTCCATTGATATTTTGAGGACTTATATGCAAAAAAAATTAAATTTAGGTACTAAATATACATATCTATTAAGTTTAGGTACCAAACTGTAATTTGTATTTAGACATAGGTACAAACCCAAATCCATTTGTTATAAACCCATCTCAACCCAAAGTAAATGGGTATGGGTACAAACCAATTAAACTCTATCCATATCCATCTATTTGGATTTCACAGTAAAAAACCCATGGGTATGGGCAAAATTGCCATCTCTAATCTTGCGTGATAACGAAGCTTTTCTTCTTCGACATTCTACTTGCGTTACTCCCCCAAAGGTTCAGGACACCGGAGGTAAAGGCGAGAACAAAAAGCCCCGAAAGATGTGGAGACGAGCGCTGCCGTCACCGTCTTCATTCTCCGGCCGATCCGCCACTCCAGGCATCGCCGCGAGATTCTTCTCCTTCGCCTCTTCACAGCCGCCGCCCTCGACGACGCCCTTTCCCGTTTCCTCTTCTCCGAGGACCACCACTCTCTTCTCCTCAGGTATTCCAATTCGAGTCCTCCAGCTTTTATCGACTGCTAGCTGGTTCGTTAGCTTTGTTTTCCCCCCCTTCATCAACGAGATTGAGCTTGCGTCAGGTAAAATTCCGAAGACCAAGGTTGAAAATGTGATGCCGATCGCTACCGGACACGAGCGAGAGGAACTCCAGGCCGATCTTGAGGTAATCTTTCTGCTCGTTACATCTATTTTCTTGCTGTTTTCTACGTTTCGGGATTCCGTTCATTGCTCGCATTCTGATATGTTCATTCCATCGTAGGGAAGGAACATTTTAGAGATCAACTATCCCGTCGGTCCTTTTGGTACAAAGGTTGGTATCGATCAGATCCCATAGCCTTAGGAAATCTGTATAATGATCCGTGAACGAGGATACGGGAATTAGTTTTTCTTGTTGATACGGCTTTGATTGATGTAATGGCTGCTGTATAGGAAGCTCCTGCTATTGTGAGGTCTGTTTATGACAAACGAATAGTTGGATGCCCCGGTGGCGAAGCAGGTTGATCCTTAATCCTCTCTCATTGTCTTAGCTTTTGCTGCTGGGAAGTGTCTGAATCTGTTCTTCTGCGTTCCAATTGTTGCTTTGCATTTCATCGGGTTGTGAATATTTGCAGAAGATGAGCACGATGTGGTGTGGTTCTGGCTGGAGAAAGGCAAGCCTTACAACTGCCCTGTCTGCTCCCAGCATTTCAAGGTAAGCTCCTTCCCCGAAACTGTGCAATATCGAATCTCAATCTCGCCCGTCTATTTTATTCGCGAAGCTTTTGATACAAAACTGTACTGCAGTTGGAAGTGATTGGCGAGGGAGGCTCGCCCGATGGCCATGGAGATGATCACTAATGCACCGTCGTGCAGTTTCCATAGTGGAATAAATTCAATCAAGAGACAGTAGGGGAGGCAAATTCTCCTCCAGTTTTGTTATGTAGTTAATAAAACAAGGTTTAGTTGGCGATACTACTCGATATCCCTTGCTTTCTTGTATGCACTTTTCCTACAACGAGACTGCTCAAATGGAAAAATAGTTACTGGAAACAATTTCGTTGTCAAATGTGTCTTTTATCTCCAGTGTGTTTTCATTTGTTGTCTCTCCTACGAACTGATGTTCTGGCTTCTCAATTTCCAGCATTCCTCAACCTGTTGTTTGACTGCAAAATCGGCATCTTTGGTCATATTTGTGTCTGTATGTCAATGCTTCAATGTTTGAAAAATGGGGTTGTAGACTTGTAGTTGTACCAATGTACCATGGGATTATCGAAACAACAATGGCATCAGAATATTACAGGAAGAAACTAAGTAGCTCTTTGGTTTTTTGTATGTAACGTTATTCTGGCTGGCTACTGAAAATGTGGCCGTCCAATTGGACTCATGGTCTCCATATTTGTCCAGAAAGAGAGGACAAAACATGATTGTCACTCTTATATTAGTCTAATGTGCTGTGTACTATGGGATTATCGTCACTTCTTCGGACGGCTGAGTATTCAGCAACCAGAAGAAAGGTGAGCTCAGCTTCATATTTCATTACCTCTTTTCTCTCGATGCTAATAGTTTAACCTTGTAAGCTGACTAGCATTTGTGAAAACTGCTCGAACCCATTGCAGGTTAAGCTGCAAAAATCTAAAAGATGTCTTCTTCAGCACGGCGCCGCGAGACAATTGCAGAATGTCTCTCCGATCTTCAATCAGACTCCGTTGACTCCCAGCTGAAATCCCTCCAAACCTTAGCTTCAATCACCAAGGTTAGTCCCCAGAACAGGAACTTAATCGCACAAACAGACGGTGCCATTTCCACCCTTCTCACCCTCTCGAAATCCCCAGCTCCCTTGATCCAACCTCTCTCATTATCCATCCTCTTCAACCTCTCCCTGAATCCCGATTTAAAGCCGCTTATGACAGAGATGGAAACGATTCACCACCTCAATTCCTTAATCCTCCACACAACTACCTCTCCAGAATCCACCAGGCTAGCTTGCTCCCTCATCTGCAGCTTGGCGATCCTGGACAAGAACAAAGCCAAGTTCGGAGTAGCAGGCACAATCCAGGTACTGGTCAAGTCCATTTCAGGCCCTCGAACTCCAACAACCCACCATCTCCTCAGTTGCTTGGCCGAGCTCGTCCAGTTTCACGGCAACTGCACGTTGGCCGTGCGCTCTGGTGCTGTGAATCTCCTGGTGGGAATCGTTGAGAGCAGTGCTGACTACGGTGAAGATCTTGCAGGGACGTCGCTGGGCATCCTGAGCCTGCTTGCTAGGTTCGAAGAAGGGCTGACTGCGTTGATTGGGAGTGATGAAGTGGTGAGATTTCTCGTGGATGTGTTGCAAGGAAGGTGCATGTTGAGCAAGGAAGGTGCGGTGGAGATCCTCGTGCGGGTTTTCGACGAGGATGAGGAGCATCTTAGGGATGCTTCTGAGCTGCCGGAGATGGTGAGCCTGCTGGCTGATTTGTCGGTGAGGGGATCGTCCAAGGCCAGGGAGAAAGCTGGTCTGTTGATGAAGAAGATGATGGAGGCTAACTTTGCCCCACTCTTGTGATGAATTCTGGTACTATGCAGAGCCATGGGAGGCTGGCTGACAGCGTTGGATTGCCCTGCGCGTGCTATGTGGATCGTTGGATGTGTGATCCGACGTTGTTAGCTAGTGCAGAGGCTTCCCTGTTTTGCCACGATTTGATCATAAGGTTCGATTTTTCTTCTGCCCTTTCTAATGTTGTGTTATTTCTGGGAAATATGGCGCTTGCCGAAGTGTAAGAAATGAGGACTAATGAGTTACTATTTCATTGGGGGATGGCATCGATCTGTTGACTAACGTGTATGTTTGGTGAACAAATGTTTTGTTGTCCTCTAAGACAATACATAATCAAATAGCGAAATTAAGATAAACGTAACCAACTACTTAAACCGAAACTCACAAACCTCGAAAAGTATAAATGCAATGTCTTTCTTTTCAGACGATGAGCAACATTCCTTCTTACAAAAACTCACCTTGTACCCCGTCCCCCGATATCATCTTCGGTTAGTGTTTTTATCTCAATAAGTACAACTCCTCCATTCACTTCCCAAACTTCGCTCGCATAGACCTTAACAGTAAAAACTGAACGTCCTCGAAATTGGACTTCTGATAACCTCATATTTTAATTTGACACGATGAGATCACATCACGAAAAATCACAAGTTCAATTTTAAGGGCATAAATCCGTACCAAGAAAACAAAGCTGCCACAACCGCACTCAAAGCATCGTACATCACTGCTCCCATAGCCCCATGATAAACCTGAGCTGTGGCTGGATCAAAATAAGGCATCAGGCAAATTCAGAGGATGAACAGCAATTGAAATACATGTCAGGCTCTATTGGGCATAAAATTGAATTTTTCTTTTATGAGCAAGTACTCTTGCACAACACAAGAACAAATCACATGCATATATCGTTGTGTTCTGTGTGATTTATTCTTCTGTCTTATCAATTTGTTTAGTGGATGAGTACAAACTCAGACAGAGTGGAACATGGTACCGCATTTCAGTAATAATCTGACGGACCGATTCAATTTCTCCAGTCACAGCTAACAATCATATATGTCTGCACTTCAAGTTTCAATCATGTTTTGTGTTTCTGAGTTTTGACAAACTCAAGAAAGAATCCTTTGGGACAAAGCATTGGGCAGTGCTATACCACCTTTGGACGTTTACTATAGACAGCTATAGCCTTGTTCGAAAATGATTACTACTATGTAGTCCAAGGTTGTCAACCCGCGGGTCGACCCACTTTGACGCTGACCCGATGAGAAAAACGGGCCGTACGCACCCGTCGGACCGGCCGCTACAAGGTACCGGGTTGGAGGTCAAATTGTGTCATTTTTTTCTTTGGTTTGCGAAATGTGCCTATTTTCCGATTTTTCTTTTCGTCTAGCTCAATTTTTGAAATGCTAAGTTGAACATTTGAATATTTATGTTATATAAGTGTGTGTGAATTTTCACTATATGTTGTCTCTATATACGATATGTTATTTTGGTGTAATATTATATGTTATAACTCATATGTTAGATAAGATTTGATATAATTTATAAAGATAAGTACAATATAATGACTTTTTCCATATTTTCGGGCCAAACCGGACTAAAACGGTTGACCCATTAACCCTTGACCCACTAGCTCGACCGGGTCCGGGGTCAACCCGCGGATTGACAACCTTGATGTAGTCCAAAGAAAATGATATATCGAAAAAAGTTAGGATTCATCTAGCGATTTGCAAGTATCATGGATGGGTTCTTGATTAGAAATAAAAATGTTAGTTTCATAGGTTTTGTATTTAATGATTGGTTATATATATACGGTCTATGTAAATTTTGAATTAATGGGTTGATTTTTATTTTTATGTTTAAAGAAATTATGTAAAAATCATTCTTTGATCTCGTTCGGGAAAAGAAAAAAAATATTTTGAGATAACTATGACCATTTAATTAGATCGTTTGTCTGTGTTTTGCTAGAAGTCAGATATCATATCATGATTAATTACCGAAATTGGAATAACATAATAAAACTTTGGTTCTTTTTTTTTACCTTATCAAATCCATAAGATTTTGCTCACAATATGAAGTGTGACCTTGCAGATAAGAATTGCCATAACATGGGATGGGAAACAATTCACTTTTTTTCCCCCCCTGTAGATGTGAGAGCCAATATAGAAGATCAGTAACCCAGTGGCCCAAACATATTGGCAAGAGCTAGCTAGGGTTGTTACATAATTAGAGACTACTGTTAGGATTTTGGGAATCGATCTATTGAGGCTTTTCATTCATTCATTCATTCAAGTCATTGTCCAGAAAATCCTCAGCAAGGTGAGAGTCCTCCACTATAAGAATTTCAGCACATTTTGTGATAAATTTAATATCAACATCATCATCATCATGAATGATATCTGCAGAGCCAGTAGCTAGAGGGACAGGGAAATGGGGGAATCTTGTGTTTGTGGAGGACATGTGGAATGCAGTAGTCAGGATTTTTAAAATCCCTGCGAAATTCCCGACAGTCACCATGATTTCACTCCAACACCCCTTTTCTAGGTCCTAAAGTTTCACCACTATTCATCATGGCCTGCATAGAAAATAGGTGAACCAGAAAACAAAATTAAAAAGAGAAAATGTTATCATCGTATTGGTGTAGGCTGATATTGTTGAATTATTGAACAATGCGATTCAAGATTGCTAACCCGAACAATTTCCTGCCCATCGACATGCTATCTAGACTGCACCTTAGTTTCCTAGTTTAATTAACCCTATAACCATGCCAACCAACGTAGGCATAGATAATTTATTCTATGCAAGATTCCGATTTTGGGTAAAGATTAGGCCAAATGATGTTAATATATAATGACGATTTCTTTTCATAAAACAAGATCAACATGCATGATGATAATTAAGACCAATATCGAGACACTAAAGAAATGAGTGGATGGCATCAGCATATCTTTTTCTCAGTAATTTTGAATGGCAAGTTGGCAACGAAAGATATGACTTTGTAGAAGCAAGTCTAAGAGCTTTATGATTATTCCAATGGTGAAACCCACTTTCATGACTCACTTTCTATTATGATCGCCAAATCCACGACACAATATTTTTTGCACTAGTAACTATGATTCCCCCACCCATTCATATCAAAGGAGGAGGAGGAGTGAAGTGGGGCTCTCCACAAGAGTTGACCAAGCTCTTATTTTGTTACTATATGTTATTCCTTCCTTTAGCAATCGAGTTTGTCAACGAAGAGCACAAAAGGGTTGTTAATGTTCCATTTGTTTGTGATTGAATCACATATCATATCAATTCTCAGGTGCTATAATCATCGGCAGTCTCGCTCAAAATTATAGTCGCAATCAATCATTAAACATTTCGGGCTAAGCGTACTCTCTATTTAAATTGGTCATACATCTTCGATCGTGATATCAATGTTCTTCTTTAGTTTTCTTTTTAGCTAGTTTGATTACTCGATTACCCTTGCAGGTCCGGGGTGGGTTTCTACTTTCTTGGTACCCAGACTCGCCCCGTGGCAGGTCGAGTTCAAGTCGGGTAATTTATCACGGGTCACGGGTCGAAGTAGATTGACCCATTGGGTATGCAATTTATATGAAAAATATTAGAAATATTTGTTATTTGTATTATAAGACCAAGGAAACAAACAATATTATGAGAAATATAGTTAAATTATTGGAGAAATTGAGGTTTTCATGAATTTACAACTTTATTATAGCTAAAATTTGATGTGATAAAAGGAAAATCCTAAGTAATTTGACTAAAATTACATGTAATTTAGGCAAGAACGGGTCGAGAATGAGGCGGGTCAAGGCAGGTCGGATCGATGAGAGTACCCATGCCCGCCCCGCCCCGCACCAAAACAGGTCAAATAGGTCAAGTAAAATGGGTCAGGTCAAAATTGGCATCCCTAATCATATCGTTACAGTCTTTTGTCCCAATAATAACATGAAAAGATGAACAAGTTAGCTTTTAGATGCAAACTTGAACATATTATCCCAATATGGTTTGTATGCAACAATAACACACGCTATTGGTCACATATAGAGGAGCCTAACGCCCTTACCCATGTCCAGCTTGTTGGTGCACGTCTTGCAATTAGAGCGCAAATGAGCCACATCAAGTTGAGTTTGATCTAGTTAGACTTGACTTGTTTGTTGAAATCTCGACTCGTGTTTGACTCATCAACGAGCTCACAAAGTTTACTCGAACTCAACTCATCTATCAACTTGCGAGCATGTCTTGAGCTTATATATAAGTTTATTTAGTTCATAAATTTTAACGGTTATTATCTAGTTATTTCATAGTAATAGTATCTAAAAAATTTATCATACATAATTTTCCTTTTAGATTATAAATGAGACATATTTTCTTATGTACTCAAAGTCTTAAACATTATATGTGGTGAGATAATCTAACAAATTTATTAATTATCAACAAGCCAACTCATAAGCTATAGATGGATTCGCTCATAAACTGCTAGTCAAATAGGTTTGCTAGTCACAGACTCACAACAACTCATTTTCAAAACAAGGTAGCTGATCAGGACTTGAACTCAACAAGATACCAAATCAAACTGGCTCTGAAGCCTTATAAGTTGAACAAGATACAACTCAAATTCGTCTCGTTTATTAACGAGTCGAGTGTCAAACGAATTTCTCCCAAAACCAAATCTCGAACCGATGGTCACAATTACGCTCATTTGTGGCACTGCTTGCAATCAGGCTCCGAATCAAAAGCACTGCTTGCAAAACCATCCAAATCAAATCATAAGCAGCTTGTCCTCGAAGCCATAAAAGAGTTGGGAACTGCCGATTTTCTTATTAACTTGTAACGAACGAAATTGGAAATCTGTGAGTCCTCACCACTTTTCCATTAACTAAAAATGTAATATGCTATAAATGATCTAATTGTGTTCATATTTCAAGTTCACACTTTCCTCAACCTTAAAAGTGCAGAATCAATACCCTTTTATCTTTCTCCTCCCCTGAAAAGTTTGTCTTAGAAATTTC